ATATCATTCCAGTCTCTCCTAGCCTGTAAAGTTTCTGTTGAGAACTTCGCTGAGAGCCTGATGGGAATTCCTTTGTACGTTATTTTTTGTTTTTGTCTAGCTGCCCTTAATATTGTTTCTTTGTAATTGACTTTTGCCAGCTTTACTACTATATGCCTTGGAGAGAGCCTTTTTCCTGTTGATATATTTAGGCGACCTATTGGCTTCATTTACTAGTATTTCCAGCTCCTTCCCCAGATTTGGGAAGTTCTCAGCTATTATTTCCTTGAATAAGCTCTCTGTTCCTTTTTACCTCTCTTCTCCCTCAGGAATACCTATAATTCTTATGTTGCATTTCCTAATTGAGTCGAATATTTCTCAGAGAATTTCTTCATTTCTTTTTAGTCTTAGTTCTCTCTTCTCCTCCATCTGGAGCATATCTGTATTCCTATCCTCAATGATGCTAATTGGTTCCTCCATATTGTCAGCTCTGTTCTTTACAGATTCCAGATTTTCCTTTATCTCCTCCACTGTGTTTTTCATCTCCAGCAATACTCACTGGCTTTTCTTTATGGTTTCAATCTTTTGTGAAGAAATTCCTTATCTCGTTGAATTGTTTATTTGTGTTTCCTTGTAATTCGTTGAGCTTTTTTATGATAGCTATTTTGAATTCTCTGTCATTTAGGTTACAAATTTCTGTGCCTTCAGCGTTGATTTCTGGGTGCTTGTCATTTTCCTTCTGGTCTGGTAATTTAAATGTATTTTTGCATCGTGCCTGCTGTACTTGGCTTATGTTTCCTCATCCTAACAATATCTGGTTGCGGTTTCCACCTGCCGCCACTGGGTGGGAGTCAAGGGCTGCGTCTTTCTGAGCCCCCTTCTTCCACAACTGCTCTGACTGACTGACTGAGCTGAAGTGCTGGGCCTACAGGGGGGAGGGGCTCTCTCTTTCCCCTGCCCGATCCCAGGGGGCTTCTGGTTCTTCCCTCACTATCTGCTCTCCTGGGGTGCTCAGATGTTGACGGCATCCCTGCAAAAGTTCCAACTCCCCTGTGTGGGAATTTCCCACAGGCTGTGAGAGAACTGGAGAGCAATGATTTTCCCTGCAGAGGGCCGCCCCTCCTCACTCTCTGGGAGCCAAGTGGACCCGGAGACACCGATCAGATGGGGAGGGGGAGGATTTCTCCTTACCTCTTCCCACTTCCTCCGGGGGCTCCAGCATGTCCATTCTCAGATGTGCAGCTGCGTGGGTCTTTCAGATGTCCTTTTGTGTTGTGTGAGTGTCCTTTGCTGGTATGTGAATGTCCTTTTTGTTGTATCTTATCCAGGGAGAGTTTACAGGAAAGTTCACTCCGCCATGATGCTGACATCACTCTCCATTTTATTATTTTTGATGCTATTCTGAATAGAGCTGTTTTCTTAATTTCATTTTCAGCATGTTCATTGCAAGTGTGTAGGAACACAATTATTTCCGTATATTTACCTTGTATTCTGCAACCTTGCTGAACTTGTTTGTTAGTTCTAGAAGTTTTTTATTGGATTCCTTAGGATTTTCAATATATAAGACCATGCCACCTGCAAATATAGTTTTAATTCTTCCTTTCAAATCTGGATGTCTTTTATTTCTTCTTCTTGCCTAATTGCTGTGGCTAGAACCTCTAGTCCAGTGTTGCACAGAAGTGGCAAGATTGGACATCCTTGACTTCTTCCTGATTTTAGGGGGAAAACTCCCAGTCTTTCACCATTAACTAAGATGTTAATTGTGTGTTTTTCATAGATGCCCTTTATCAGGTTGTGGAAGTTCCTTTCTATTCCTAGTTATCATAAAGGGTGTTGGATTTTGTCATATGCTTTTTCTGTGTCTATTGAGATGACCATATGGTTTTTGTATTTTATTTTACTAATATTGTATGTTATATTAATTGATTTTTGGATACTAAACTTACCTTGTATTCCTGGGATAAATCCCATTTGGTCATGGCATATAATTCTTTTTATATGTTTCTGGATTCAGTTTGCTAGTATACTGTTGAAGACTTTTTCATTTATATTCATAGCGAATCGTGGCTTGTAGTTTTCTTTTCTTGTGATGTCACTGTCTGGTTTTGGTATCTGGTTATTAATGACCTCATAGAATGAACTGCAAAGTGTTCCCTCCTCTTGTATGTTGTAGAAAAGTTTATGAAGGATTGGTATTAATTGTTTTCTGAATATTTGGTAGAATTAACCAGTGAAGCCATCTGGGCCACAGTTTTTCTTTGTGGGTAGTTTTTTCATTACTAATTCAATGTCTTAACTTGTTGCAGGCCTATTCAGATTTTCTATTTCTTTCTGAGTCATTTCCATAATCTATGTCTTTCTGGGAATTAGTCATTTCATCTAAGTTATCTAATTTTTTGGTATACAATGTTTGTAATACTTCCTAGAAATCCTTTTTATTTCTGCATGGTTTGTTCTACCTGTTTCTGTAAGTAAAGTTGTACTGGCAAGCAACCACACCCATTCATTTACATATTGTCTATAGCTATTACAATAAAACTTCAGAAGTGAGTAGTAGCAACAGAGACCATATGGCCCACAAAACCAAAAACATTTACTATCTGGGCCTTTATAAAAAAAAATTGCTGACCTCTGGTTTAGAAGAATAAAATAAAAGTTAAGTACTGTAGTAAAACTGGAGCAAAAGGCTTTCAAGAAAAAGTATTAGAAGCAGGTAGTAAGTGTGGAATGCATTAACTATAATCTAGTTTTATGACTTTCAGCTTAAAGCTCCATTCCTGTTCAATCCCTCTGACATCTTCATTTCTGGAGGAACAAACACATCTCCAGACCAGATTCAGAACAAAGATCCAGCTTCACAGAATAAACAGGAAGTTCAAAAGCAAAAAGTTTTCTAGGCAAATAGGGGCAGAGTGATAAAGGCTATATCATGAGTAGCTTTCTTTTTTTGGTTGAGGGTCCTATAACTTTAGAGCCCTCTTTCTAAAGCAACATAAAGCCTCAAACAAGCATAGCTTTCCCCATGACTCCTGAATAGCATAGACAGGCTATGAGAGAGCACTCTCCCAGACCCCTCCTGGCCTCACAAACGTAGAGTAAATCAATTCTTTCTTTTCACCCCACACTGCCTTAAAAATTTACCATTACAGCATCTGTCACGCAGATTTTACCTGCATTTGTGACTCTCTCACAATTCATCTCAGCATCCTTAGGATCTGTGTATGGTACACTCCTTACCCCTCACATCACAAACATTCCCCTGTTCTCATTTTCATTAGCAACACCTGAACTGTCTGCAACCTCTGCCCACCATAAGCGCCAACAACATCCAAATCCTTTCAGAAGGAAGCCAAAGGTAGATAGTAATTCCAGGTAACAGATGATCCACCACAGAAACTGGTTATAAAATTATTCCTTTCCTGTAAGCCCTGGCAATCAGACTCAAACAAGCTCTGCTACGGGTGACACCATTATAATGTTATTTCATGTGCAAGAGCAATGGGAATGTCCATTATTCCAGATTTGATGTGAGGTTTCCTACAAATACATTGTCACTCCAGTTTAACCCTCAGCCCTTAACAATAAGAAATAACGGGCTAAATGGAAGCCTTGGGCCTGTCATTGAAAGGCTCTGTGACTCTAAGCAAGTACCTTAAATTACATCAAAAAATTCCCAGGTCACCTGGGAAGACAAACTTGTCAATACATTATAGAAGATGAAAGATTAGAGCAAAGGTACTTCAACTCTCCCTCATCTATGCCCCATTTCAAGACAAAACGCCAGGCCAATCATCTAACTCTCCTTGACCCAATAGACACCGAGTTCATCATCAAGCTCTAGCTATCTCATCTTTAAAATCTGAAGTCTTGCCTCTCCTGTTCATCTCCAATGCCACTGCCTCCCTGTAAATCACACATGGCTCGTATCTTCTGGGGACTGCAGAGTGGAAGAGGCTCCCAAAGTGGTGAGAAGTATTCCTTCCATCTTTGCTCACTCTTCACCTTTCTCAGACATGTTTCTACTCCAGAACACACTATATGGCTTTATTCCTGTATCTGCCTGTCAACTAGCCTCCCAGCCTCCAGTTTTCATGGTGATCCATCCTCAACATCACTAATAGCATTATTTCCACCCCACCACACTGCTGAGAAGGAAAGTTAATCACATCACTCTCACTTTAAAACCAGCTGCAGAATTCCCACTGCCTGCAGGACAGAGCATGCACCCCAGTCTTGCTGCCATCCATCTCTCCAGGCTTGCCCTTCCAGCTGCCTCTCATGCATCCTACAGGTACCAGCCACAGTGGATGCTCTCAGACTCCCAGAAGAGAGCCATTGTCCTTCATTTCCATACCTTTGCACAGTTTCCTCCCAAAGTGCACTTTTATAACTGGCAAAATGCAGCTTAGAGGCCCCCTCTGTTGTGGGCCTTCCCTAACTTAAGGTGCTCTCTTATGGCTCCCATAGCACGCTCTTTAAATGTTTGACAGTTCTCTAAGCACCACAATCCTGAAGTCATACCTTCCCCACTAGGCTATGGAAAACCATTCAACGGCCAGGATTGGCTAAGAAAGATCTAAGGCCAAATATCCTGCAGTCCTCAGGTATCTGGTGACTGGATTAGCCACCAGGAATGAAAAAAGGAAGCATGGCAGAAAGTTACTGCTTGCAGTATAAAAGGACATGAGTTGGTAACATTTCATTAAAGCCCTTACAATAGAGCCCTAAACCCATAATAAACCTATAGGTTCCATGTGGCTCTACAAAATTCCTCAACAATTCACCTCTCAAAACTGTGCCAGAAATAGTTTACAGAGTGAATATTAGTAATCTAATGGAACATAGTAGTTAATGGGCTGAAGTTCGATTAAAATTTTTATACAATCCAAAGTTTGGATTTCTTTGTAACCTCTATTTCTTTTAGTCCCAGGCCTATTTCTTCTGCCTTATCCCTATACCAACTTTAATATTAGGCCTCGACATTCTGTCAGACCAGCACCTGAAGGCAGCCAAAAGCTTACCTGAGCTGAGACGCCAATGAGGAGTAGCCACTTCTGGTACTCATCGGTCTGGTAGTGGATCATCTGGCACCCTGCCAGATTGGCATGTCTATCAAACATCTTCACAGGCTGGGAGTCACCTTCCATGCTCCAGTGGTAGACTGTGGTCTCGGTCACCAGGGCAACAGTGTTCACAGTGACCTACTTCCAGAAAACTACCTCTTCTGCCATCGTATGAGACTTCATTTTACTCTTCATCTCAATATTAAAGATTTGAAGTGTCTTCCCAGCTAGTATTTGATGAGATGGAGATTAAAGAAAGATAAATTAAAAATCTGAAAGACAAATTCTTACACTCTTAATTCTGAATCTTTTTAATATTACTTGAAGTTGTACTACTTACAGCTAATCTGATTTAGAGGTGAAAAAAAAGCTGCCTAAGTAGTAATTAACCACACTTTGACGTCTAAATGTTGAGAAGAGCCTCCTATGCATTAGAGATCCTTCTTCAGAAGAATGTAAAAGTGTGTGAATATTTATAGAATATATGAATAACAATCAGAAGTTAGTTCTAGTGGTATCAAGAGAATCAGTTTTAGATTGGTTTCTTCTAGTTTTAAAACACTTTCTGGATAAGTCAACGTTCTTTCTGCCTGGTGTCTCCAACTTTCAGGAAAGAACACAACCAGCCCTTCAGACTAACTTTTCCACATAACAGGGTTATTTTGTCTTAAATTCTATACCAGTGCTGTCAAGTAGAATGTTCTGTATTTGCACTATCCCGTACAGTAGATACTAGCTATATGTAGCTATTAAACATTTGAAATGTGTCCAGTAAGACACATTTCAGGAACTGAATTTTTACTTTTATTTACCCTAAATTAACTTAAGTTTAAACAGCCTCATGTGTCTAGTGTCCAATAGGACTGCACAGTTCTAGACAAAAGGCTTTGAAATCTATCCCCTGGCAAGAGACTCATATGTTTCCATCTCTGATAAAAAGCTGAGTTCTGATCTTGGTATCTATGCAAAACTTAGAGCTAACACAAAATACTCCTTCCCCTTAAGATCAGGATCAAGGCAAGGATTATTTCTCTGACAACTTCTATTGGGCATTGTGCCAGATATCCTAGCCAGTGCAAAAAGGCAAGAAAACTAAAACATATAAAGACCAAAAAAGAAGTAAAACTGTCTTTATTCACAGACAACATAACTGTTGACAAAGAAAAGCCTAAGGAATCCACCAATCTACAAAACCACTATCAGAACTAATAGGTGAATATAACAACACTGCAGGAAATGGGATCAATAAACAAAAATATCAACTGCATTTCTAGATGCTAGAAGCAAACAATTTGGAAATAAAAATTTGAGAAGAATTTATAACACCACTAAAAGAAAAAAACTGTTGACTAAGAATCCTATATCCGGCAAAACTGTCCTTCAAAAATTAAGGAGAAATTAAGACATTACAGATAAACAAAAGCTGAGGGAGTTTCTTACCACTAGAGCTGTCTTTCAAGAAATGCTAAAGGGAGTCCTGCAGGTTGAAATGAAAGGAAACTAGACAGTAACTCGAAGCTGTATGAAGAAGTAAAGATCTCAATAAAGGTAAATAAATGGGTAATTACAAAAGCTATAATTATTGTAACTCCACCTTTTGTTTTCTAAATGATTTAAGAGAGTAAAACATTAAAAAAACACAATTATTAGTCTGAAAGCTAGTATTACTGTAACTGGTTTGTAACTATATTTTTGTTTTCTATATAATTTGAGAGATAAATGTGTTAAAAAGAATTATTAGTTTATGTTTTTGGACACACAATGCATAAAGATGTAACTTTGTGACATCAACAACTGAAAGAGGTGGAGACAGAGATGTAAAGGAGCAGACTTTTTGTATGTGATTGATGTTAACCTGGTACAAATTTAAATTAGACGGTTATAACTTTAGGATGTTAAATATAACCCTATGGCAACCACAAAGAAAACAGCTATAGAATATACACAAAAGAAATGAGAAAGGAATTTAAATGTTCCCTCAAAAAATCAACTAAATACAAGAGAAGACAGTAATGCAGAAATGAGGGACAAAAATGCTATAAAGTATATAGAAAAACACATAGTGAAATGACAGAAGTCCCCCCTTACCAGTAATGCATTAAATGTAAATGGATTAAACTATCCAATCAAAAGACAGAGATTGGCAGAATGGATATAAAAACATGATCCAACTATATGCTGTCTACAAGAGACTCACTTTAGGTCCAAAGACACAAACAGGTTGAAAGTGAAAGGATGGAAAAAGATATTCCATGCAAAGAATAACAAAAAGAGAGTAGGAGTGGCTAATATCAGACAAAATAAACTTTAAATCAAAAAAGGTTAGAAGAGACAAAGGACATCATGCTAAGTGAAATAATCCAGTCATTAAAAGACAAATACTGTATGATTCCACTTATATTAGGTACGTAGAGTAGCCAAAATCACAGAGACAGAAAGTAGAATGGTGGCTGCCAGAGACAAGGGGAGGAAAGAACTGGGAATTATTGTTTAATGGGTATAGAGTTTCAGTTTTGCAAGAGGAAAGGAGTTCTGGAGATAGATGGTAGTGATGGCTGTACAACAATACGAACATACTTAAGACCACTGAACGATAAACTTAAAAATGGTTAAGACGAAAAATTTTATGTTAAAATGTATTTAGCTACCATTAAAAAATTAGGAAAAAAATAGTTGGAGATTTCAAAATCCCAATAATTGATAAAACAATCAGACAGAATAAAAGATTTGAACACTACTGACCAATTCAACCTGACATCTTTAGAACACGTCACTCAACAACAAAACACACATTCTTTTCAAGTATACCTGAAACATATTCTGAGACAGACCATATGCTAGGCTATAAAACAAGTCTTAAGAAATGTAAAAATTTTGAAATCATATAAAATAAGTTCTCTGATCATAACAGATATATTAGAAATCAATAACAAAAAGAAGTGTGAGATAGTCCCAAATTTTGGAAATTCAACAACACACTTCTAAATAACCCATGGGTCAAAGAAGAAATTAAAAAGAAATTTAGAAAATATGTTGAAGTGAATGAAATAAAAAGCAGAGCATATCAATTTTGAGGTTGCAGTTAAGACACTGCCTAATGAGAACTATATAATTTTTTTTTTTAAAGATTTTATTTATTTATTTTTCCCCCCAAAGCCCCAGTAGATAGTTGTATGTCATAGCTGCACATCCTTCTAGTTGCTGCATGTGGGACTCGGCCTCAGGATGGACGGAGAAGTGGTGCCTCGGTGCGCGCCCGGGATCCGAACCCGGGCCACCAGCATCGGAGCGCGCGCACTTAACCACCAAGCCACGGGGCCGGCCCGAGAACTATATAGTTTTAAATGTCAAGATCAGAAAAGAAAAAAGATCTCAAAGCAATAAACTAAGTTTCTACCTTAAGAAACTAGAAAAAGAAGAGCAAACTAAACTGAAAACAACAAAAAATAGAAATTAAGATTAAAGCAAAAATCAAGGAAAGATAACAGAAAAATAACAGAGAAAAATCAATGAAATAAAAAATTAGCTTTTCAAAATAATCAAGAAAATTGACAAACCTTTGTTAGACTAACCAAGAAAAAAAGAGAAGACACAAATTACCAAAATCAGGAATGGAAGAGAGGACATCACTGGTGACCCTAAAGAAATTACAAGGATTATGAGTGAATATTGTGAACAATTTTATGCCAACACATTAGAAGACTTAGATGACTTAGATAAATTCCTAGAAAGATAAATTACCAAAACCGACACAACAAGCAACAGGAAATCTGAACAGATTTACAGGCAAACCTCAGAGATATTGCAAGTTTGTTCCAGATCACCGCAATAAAGTAAATATCGCAATTAAGCAAATCACATGAATGTTTTTGTTTCCCACTGCATATATAAACTACCATACTGTAGTCTATTAAGTGTGCAATAGCATTATGTCCAAAAAAAAAATGTATATATATATACCTTAATTAAAAATACTGTATTGCTAAAAAACTCTAACCACCATCTGAGCCTTCAGGGAGTTGTCATCTTTTTGCTGGTGGAGGGTCTCATAAAAAATGCAATATTTGCAAAGCGCAATAAAACGAAAGGCCATAAAACGAGGTATGCCTGTATAGCAAGTAAAGAAGTTGAATTCATAGTTTAAAATCTCACAAAGAAAAGCCCAAGCCCAGAAAGCTTTTATTGTTGAATTCTATCAAATACTCAAAGAGAATAGAAATAAGAATTCTTTCACAACTCTTTGAGAAAGTAGAAGAGGAGGGACCACTTCTTACCTCTTTCTATAAGGCCAATACTAATTCAATTACAAAGTCAAACCACATCACAAGAAAAGAAACCATAGACCAATTATCATAGACAGAAAAATCCTTAAAATATTAGTGACCCAAATCCAGCATCATATAAATACAATTATACCCCATGACCAAGAGGGATTTATCCCAGGAATACAAGGTTGGTTCAATATCCAAAAATCAATTCACATAATACATTACACTAATAAAGGACAAAAACCATGTGATCATTTCAATAGATGCAGAAAAAGCATTTGACAAAATCCAACACCTTTTCATGTTAAAAACTTTAAACAAAATAGAAATATAAAGGAACTTCCTCAACTTAATAAAAGTTTCATCTACCCAAAACCCACAGTGAACACCATATTCAACGGTGAAAGACTAAATTCTTTCCCGTAAGATTAGAAACAAGCCAAGGATGTCCGTTCTCACCACTTCTATTCAACATTGTACTGGATATTCTAGCCAATGCAATGTTGAAACAAACAAAATGAACAGAATCCAGATTAGAAAGGAAGATGTATAACTGCCTATATGCAGATAAACATGATACAGTATATCAAAAATCCCAAGAAATCCACTAAAAACTCTAAGAATAAATAAGTTTAGCAAGTGCACAGGAAACAAATTCTATATGCTAGCAAAAAACTATCCAAGAATTAAATCAATACAACAATTTTGTACATAAAAACATCAAAAATAATAAAAGACTTAGGAATAAATTTAACAAAAGAAGTCCAGAATTTGTACACTGAAAGGTAAAACAACATTGAAAAAAATTAAAGATCATCTAAATAAACGGAGAGACATTCCATGCTGAATGACTAGAAGACTCAATATTGCCAAGATGGCAATTCTTGCCAAATTGATTGATAAATTCAATGTAATCCCTATCAAAATCCCAGCAGACTTTTTGCAGAAATTGACAAACTGATCCTAAAATTTATGAGGAAATTCAAAGGACCTAGTTTCAAAAACTATTTTGAAAAATACAAAGCTAGAGTACCAACACTATCTGACTTCAAACTTACTATAAAGGCATAGTAATTAACTGGCACAAGGTTGGGCATATAGATAAATGGAACAGAAGTAAGAGTCCGGGGGCAGGCCCGGTGGCATAGTGGTTAAGTTTGCACACTCCGCTTTGGCGGCCTGGGGTTCACAGATTTGGATCCCGGGTGCGGACTTAAGCACCACTTATCAAGCCATGATGTGGCCGCGTCCCACGTATAAAGTAGAGGAAGATGGGCACAGATGTTAGCCCAGGGCCAATCTTCCTCAGCAAAAAGAGGAGGATTGGCAATAGATGTTAGCTCAGGGCTAATTTTCCTCACCAGAAAAAAAAAAAAAAAAGAAAGAAAGAAGAGTCCAGAAATAAATCTTTATATCTATGGTCAATTGATTTGCACCAGAAGTGCCAAGAAAATTCGATGGGGAAGGATAAACTTTTCAACAAATGGTGCTGGGGCAATATACCACCCCCCCGCCCAAAGAAAGAAAGAAAGAAAGAAAGAAAAAAAAAAAGCCTTATACCCTTACCTCACACCGTATACAAAAATTAACTCAAAATGGACCATAGACCTAAATGGACCATAGACCTAAATGTAAGAGTTAAAACCACTAGAAGAAAACCTAGACAATTGTTATGACCTTGGGTTAGGCTAAGCACTCTTAGATAGGACTCCAAAAGCATGATCGATTAAAGAAAAAAATCAAAATTTTTGCCCTTCAAAAGATACTATTAGGAAAATAAAAAGACAAGCTACAGACTGGGAGCAAATATATGTAAATCACATAGCTGATAAATGATTTATACCCGAAACATACAAAGAACTCTTAAAATTCAATAATAAGACAAGCCTATTAAGAAATGGGCAAAAGATTTAAACAGACACTTCTCCAAAAAGATATATGAATGGCTGATAATCATATGAAAAGAAAAGATACTTAACATCATTAGGCATTAGAGAAATGCAAATTAAAACCATAGTGAGGTACTAGAACACAACCACTGGAATTGCTATAATAAAAAAGACTAGGAAGTGTTGACGTGGATGTGGAAAAACTAGAATCCTCACACATTGCTGGTGAGAATGTAAAGTAGTGCAGCCACTTTGTAAAACAGTTTTGTAGTTTCTTAAAAAGCTAAACAAATTTATCATATGATCCAGCAATTCCGCTCCTAGGTATTTTCCCAAGAAAAATGAAAATATATGTCCAAAGACTTGTAGGCAAGTGTTCATAGCAGCAACGTTCTTAATAGCCAAAAACTGGAACCAATCCAAATGTCCATCAACTGGTGAATGGAGAAACGAAGTGTGATATGTCCATACAATGGGATATTATTCAACGACAGAAAGGAACTAACTACTGATACAAGCAACAACGTGGATGCACTTCAAACACACCACACTAAGTGAAGGAAGCCAGATGTAAAAGACTATATATTGTATAATTCCATTTATTTGAAATGTCCAGAAAAGGCAAATCTATAGAGGCAGAAAGCAGATTAGTAGCCACCTAGGACCAGGCTGGGAGTGGGGAACGACTGCAAACAGGAATGAGGGAACTTTTGAGGGTAGTGGAAATGTTCTAAAACAAGATGATGGTGATGGTTCCACAACTTGATAAATTTACCAAAAATCATTGAACTGTACACTTAGAATGTCTGGATTTTATGGCATGTAAATTACATTGGAATAAAGTAGTTAAAAAAAGACTGGACTAAAGTTCAACTATAGGATGAGGGTACCTTTTAGTTTCAAATAGCCTGGGATCACAGAGGAAATTTCCTGTAGCTTGAAAACTTGTCAAGTTGTCTTAGACTGGTTAAAAAGAACTTGTTTCATATGAGGTACAATATTTAGGGTCACAAAAAGAAAAAACAAAAAAAGGAACAACCTCCTTTGGGAATTGACCTCAGGTCAGACTCAAGCTGTCAAGGTGAAGAGTGTGCCACCACAAGGGGGCACCATCCCACCACCTCTTCCCTCCCCACCTCAGCCAAGAGCTAACTGCTGGGCTGGCACTAGGTTAGCCTACATTCAATTTACCTCTAAAAATTAAGGGAAAAAAGGTAGTTTGTAAAAAGAAACACATATGGATACTCAAAGGGCAATGTTTCATAATAAAAGTAGGAAATCATACTCAGACCAGTAATGCATGCTGTCAGCAAACTTTTTCTATGAAGCACATATAAGATCTCTGTCACATATTCATCTGTTCTGTTTTTACAACTCTTTAAAAATATGAAAACCCAGTCTTAGCTTGGGGGCTGTATAAAAACGGGCAGCTTGCCGATCCCTCAGTTAGGGTATTAATGTTCCATTAAAATGATGAGCAACAACGGGCCGGCCCCGTGGCTTAACGGTTAAGCGCGCGCGCTCCAATGCTGGCAGCCTGGGTTCGGATCCCGGACGCGCACTGACGCGCCGCTTCTCTGGCCATGCTGAGGCCGCGTCCCACATACAGCAACTAGAAGGATGTGCAGCTATGACACACAACTATCTACTGGGGCTTTGGGGGGAAAAATAAATAAATAAAATCTTAAAAAAAAAAAAAAAAAGATGAGCAACAGATGAGGAATTCTACCCCGCTTCACGCTCTTTTGGTCAAGGGTAAAAATGTATCTCTGGTTTTAAAACATCCACCACAAATCCATCAGCAGAGATAATTTGAAGAGAGACTGGGGTGAGTGAATCTGCTCCAGGCTTCTCCAGAAGGACTGGTGATGATATGGGCTGAGCACGTCGTGAGCTCTTAGCCAGATATGAGGGCAGACTGCAAAGACAGACCTTTTTAAAAAAGAGGTCAATCTCTAAAGAGCCCCCTTCCAATCACAAGACTTCACCAGCCAAAATGGGGAGACTATGAGATTCAAGACTAGGCCCCCTTGACTTCACATTCACGCTTTCACACTGACACTTCCAGAACAGCTAGAGTGTGTGAAACGACAAAAGTGCAATTCAATTATCTCTATAATTCAATCATTGTACTAATACCTTTTATTTTTTCTGAGACAGTTTCATTCATTTTGGTCTAGGGCCTTTACAACACACTGCATATCCTTCATTTGCCAACAATTTGTACTACAAGGGTCTGAGATCATCCTTAAAGAGAACTGTACTAGAAAACCAGGAAGACTAAAATGCTGGTCATTTCTGAGACCTGCTGAGAATACCAAACAGCAAACGACATGCTAGATAAGGTCTCTCAAAAGTATTGCAAAAATGGAAGATGCAGAAAAGCCAAAAGAACCATTAGAAATCCATGAAGTTTAATAATTTCTTCAATTAAAACTAAAATAGTTAACACTGCTTATATTACATGTTCAAAAAAATTCTTTGACAAGAAACAGAGTTGACAACAGAAAAAAGATAATTTCAAATCAAAAAATATTCAGCTACTTCTTTTTAAATAGAAAGGTCTAAATTTCCAGATGTCCATCTACCTACTGAATGACAAAGTAGACCCTATTCCTCTAACAAAACAGAAGCAGAGGCAAAGCTAATATTCGGCATTCACAAATTTTAGGTCAGAGAGAGTTTTCACTTTTCAAGGTGTGATAATATATTTCACATAAAACATTAACAAGTCCAGTATATACATAATTCGTTTATTTCCCAAATCATGGCAAAATGAAAAGATTCTATATTCTCAAAGTAACTAGAAGGTTTCAAGCACCCAGGGTCCCCTGAGTTCAGGGAAGTGAAATTCTGTTAATCAGCAGCTATACCGTCATCAGGGTGTTTCATAAGAGAGGTCAGTATCTTGGCTCGTACTCTAGGATACCTGGAGCACCACTGTAAAGCAGCCCCTCATGGGTCAAGGTCACTACCCGGTCCGACTGCTGAACATGCACAGTGCGGTTGTTGGCCTTTCCAGACACAGCACCCAGCGGGACGAGGTCCTGGGCATTCACTCTCTCTCGTGTATTTGGCACTACGGGTGATGGTACAAAAAACTCAGGTGCTCGGGGGCCAAGACGGCACGCAAAACAGAGCTTTTGCTAAAACTTTTGGAATTAAGTTTAATATTATGGATGGCACTTTGCTATGAGTTTACTGACACCTGTCCAATATTTAAGGTTACAGAGCAGTAAAGTGAGGTAAAATTCTTTTCTAAAAATCCTACCAGGCTTACCTTTCAGAGCTATCACCTTAGAGGCTGGGTTCATGATGGCACTTCCTGCAGAGACAGGCTGTCTGATTGACGCCATTGGATGACTCATGTCAATAATCACTACCTGCGCCTGCTCGCTAGCTTTCTCTCGGACACATATAAATTTGTCAGATTCCATGGTCAGTGCGCTGAATCCAATATTGGCTGGATTAATTCCCAGGTTTTGGAGCTAAACAGAAGAGAAAGATTTGATTAAAGTAAGTTTTTCCTCTCTGAAATAGATTCAGCTCCCTAGGGGTTAATGAGAACTCACAAGAATAAGGATAATATGAGGGAGAGGGGAAGGATGCCATGAGTGATACAGACAGGACGAGATCAGCTGGGATGGGGCAAGGAGCCCACAAAAGAGCACACCAGAGAAGGCCTCACAGATAGACTCACAGCTGAGAGCCTCAGAATGAAGGAAGGTGGTCTTGGAGAGGGGAAGGTGTGTGTGGGGGGGGGAGGAAAAAACGTAAAAACTGGTTTCTCCGGCAATAACAAACAACTAGCCAAGAGTTTTTGTTTAAAATATTTCCCTTCACATCATAAAGTCTGTCTAAATCTGATTTAAATGAATTTCTAAGTCCGTGTAAATACTTCTCGGTGAGTCCAAGGTTAACAAAAAGTCAACAGGCAGGTCTAGTACATCTTTGCAAGCAGATGGATTGCTTCTACTTGTGTTAACTGAAATCAGGTGCCTTTCTCCAAAGGTCATTTTATCCATAGCACCTGGCTTAAAAAAAGACCTATTAATGAGGTGAGCTTCAATGAAAAACCCTGGGAAAACACAAAATCAAGAAATTCATATCACCCCTATGAAGATCATGCTTATTTCTATAAACCTGCCCTGCCCCAACATACCTACAAGGTACCTTTATTTCTTTTTTTTTTTTGTGAGGAAGGTCAGCCCTGAGCTAACATCTGATGCCAATCCTCCTCTTTATGCTGAGGAAGACTGGCCCTGAGCTAACATCTGTGCCCATCTTCCTCTACTTTATATGGGACGCATGGCTTGGCTCGACAAGCAAGGCTCGACAAGCAGCGCGTCAGTGCGTGCCCAGGATCCTAACCGGCAAACCCCGGGCCGCCGCAGCAGAGCACGCGCACTTAACCGCTTGCACCACCCGGCCGGCCCCAAGGTACCTTTATTTCTAAACATTGTTCTGCTCAACCCAAATCGTACTGCTACTGACTTTGATCCTTTAACACCTGTTACCTTGTGTGACCTTGTATAGGTTTATGCTAGCAACAAAGACCAGGAACCACTTGTTAAAAATAATCACTACTCTTTGGAAGGAGCACAAATGAGACTCTTCATACTGCTAGTATAATCCTTTATTCTATCATTTATTTCCTTCGTTACAGACATGAACTCCTCAAAAGTGGGGACTGGATCTTGTCTTTTGTAGTACAGAGTCTAGCACACATGGGATATTCCAGCTGCTGAGTGGAACAGGCTGCAGGACAATAGCTCACCTCATCTGATCTTCCCATTAACCTATGAAGCAAATATGCTACACACAATTTACACTTGTGTAATACAAGGCTTTAGGTTAAGAAATCTTTTCAAAACCTCATAGCCGATCAGTGATGGAGCCAGATGTGAATAAAGCCTGTGCCCTGAACCACAATACTCAGTTGTTTGAAATTCATATTTCATTTTAACACAGAAAGGATGAACTAAGTGGTGATTACCTTTCCAAGTGAGTCCGCCCAAACAAAAACACACATAACAGCAAAGAAAACATTACTTCACAATTGTAGTGAAAGCATTTAAAAAAAAAAAAGAACCTACCTACCCATTGATGCTGTCACTACTAAAAGAATGTCCCTGCCCATTCCAGCCTAGGGTTACAGGACAGAAAATAATGCTAACGTGGGACAGGGCTCACAGGGGGCGCATCCGCCAACATTTCCAGCCATGGCAGGAGCATGCCAGGCTCTCCGTACTACTCAGAATACTACCTCAGGGGCTTGCCAGACAGAAACTTTGACCCTAGAGTATTAGGTAAAAGGAAGTTACCTCCTGAAACAGAGACAACTATTGGAGAAAAAATAATTTAGGCTGAAATTAAGTCAAAAGGAGATCTTCTCACTTCTAAGGGAATACCCAACCATAGCCTTTTCAACCCTGAATTTCTATTAATTGTCCCCCAAATCAAGAGGTAAAAATAACCAGCTTTAAAGACTTCTTCAAAGAAGTCAAAGGCAGTAGGCTGCATGTTGATCTGATGGAAAGGATATTTCAGACAAAGAATGTGGTATTCTCCAGTTCTTTGGGAGTATCCCCCAAGTTCTGCTGTTCTTTTCAGTTCCACTGAATAAGTCATATTTATTCACTCCTCTGAAAAATGCAATTTTATAATTTTTATATTTTTCTACGTTTGGAAGACTACACACCAAACTCACCATTGGTTACCTCTGGGGCGTGGGAACCACTTGCACTTTTCACTGCTTATACATCCCTGTTGTTTGAATACACATAGGTTACTCTTGTAATTTGTGAGAAGACACACAAAAAAGAATATTCTTTCTAGTGGATTCAGCTACTTATCAATGAAAAAGTTGAATCTCTTAGTCAAGATTAAGGGGGTATTGAGGAGTTAGCATTTAATGGGTACAGAGTTTCAGTTTGGGAAGATGAAAGTTCTGGGGATTTATGGTAGTGATCGTTGCACAGCCATGTGAATGTACTTAATGCCACTACACTGTACACTTAAAAATAGTTAAAATGGTAAATTTTATGTTCAGTATGTTTTACCAAAATTTAAAAAAAGATTAAGGGAGGATTTAAAAAGTAAATTATACACTGCTATGAGGTTGATTAAAATCAAGCACACACAATCAAGGAAAACACATTCAACCATAGGGCATTTTTTAACACCCTGAGGTTTTTATAACAAGTCTTCATTTGCTACAAACACCCTGCCTGCTTGTTATTCCAGCATTCCTTTCCCCATCACAAAGAACATCCACACACTGGCTACACACTAGTACATTATTGTTAATTTAGCAGAAATGACTCACTAAAATTAAGATAAAAAATTAAGCCGAGATCTAGCTAGAAAAGAACAAAACTGATTTTCTTTCAACAAATAAATATCAAGTACCCACTATGTGCCAGGCTTTAGGGACACAATGGACAATAAAGCAGACAAGATTCTGCACCAGCTCATATTCTAGTAAAGGAAACCAACAAGCTTATTTTAAACTGAGATTATTACAATGACAAAACAAACAGGGTGAAGTAACAGAGTTCCAGGAGAATAGAGCTATTTTAGACATAATAAAAGGACATGAAGGAGTCCTAAGCCATTTCTCATATTCAGGTTGATGATTTATAATATATTTAACCTATTGATTGTGTAACTTTCCTGGTATCATCCTCTCTTTCCAATGTTTCTTTCTCCACAGAGGTTGCTCATAATACTCTGCTTGTGTTTATGCAGATGTTTCAGAACTATTACACAGCCATTTGAAGTAGCAGGTTAATGTAGTACATGTAGTAATGTACCAGTGTAGTAAATGAAAGTTGAGACTTTCTCAAAGCAAATACTGTTCATACATTCATTCCATTAATAAGACTGAAAACATACTACCCACTAGCCACTGTGCTAGACTCTGAAAATACTAAGATACATAAGATACAGTCACACCGTCCAGAGCCCCACAGACCGTGGAAATGAACAATTAGTATTAGGGTGAACCATATGAAGTTGCCAATAGATGTGACTAGGGGACAATGAAAAGTTACCTCCGGGATGGGGGGGCGGGGCAGAGGGAGGACAGGAGGTAAAAGAAAGCTCCCTGGAGACCTAAGCAGAGTCTTCCTTTTTTATTATGAAATATTATAAGCATATAGCAAAATTTGGAGAGCATTCTAAACTCAAGCATCCAACACCCAACTCTGTGAAATGTTACAATTTTTGCCACACTTACCTCAGCTTTGTTACAAATGAAACATTACAGATAATGAAGAGATAAGATATTCATTCTCACCAATAAAGAAATGCCAATGAAAATGAGATGCCATTTTCTTTCATCAGCTTGGGAAAAAATTCTGAAATTGATTAATATGTAATGTTGGCGAGAGTGTGGGAGAACAGGTATTCACACAGAGTTGAAGAGAATAATATTTCACAAGCCATACCATACATCAGTATCAATTTTAAATAAATACCCTATGACCCAGTAATTTAACTTATACTAATATATCCTACAAAAACACATACTAGGATGAGTGCATAAAGAATTCTCACGCTCTAGCAGAAAATGGATTATGTCAAGGATATTCTCCACAGCTTTGCCAATAACTGGAATACTTTCCAACTAATAAAAACAGTGAATCTGATGTGTATGTAGTGACTTGGAAAGAGGTCTACTACTTGGTAGGTTTAAAAAAAAAAGATGCAGGAGTCTGCAGAACCCTTATAGCCCACAAAGCCTAAAATATTTTTTATCTGAATTTATTTTAGATTTCTCTAGTATTATATAGGCTCCTCTAATTGACAGGCTACTATATACACTTTTCTGCTTTTCACTCAATATTTCCTTGTATTGATGTAGCATAATTTAATACACTTTCTAGTGCTAGTTGGCTTATTCTAATGTTTTGCTATTACCATTGAACATTGCCATAAATTACCTTGATCAGATATACTGAAATTGGCACATGTACTAAAATATCTGTAGAATAAATTTCTACAAGTAGAACTGTATGGGACAAGGAATATATTTCCAAAACCAGCACCAAATGAGTATACCTATTTTCTACATCCTTTCCAGCCACGTTATCAACAGCTTGATATTTTACACTTCGATAAATGAAAATTTTTAATTTGTACTTCTCACAAGTAAAGTCTGAACATCTTTTTAGGTTCAAGAGCCATTTGTATATCTTTTCCTGTGAACTGTCTCTATATACCCTTTGCTCATGTCTCTTATTGCTTGGAAGGCAATTTTTATGTATTAATAAAGTTAGCTCTCTGACGTGAGCTGCAAACCTTTTGAGTCTGTTTATGCAGACTTCTACGGAGTCTAATTCATTGACCTCAGGTGTGTGTACTGGGTCTGGTGTCATACTTAGAAAGACTTTTCCACATTTTCTTCTAATACTTATACTTTCTTTTTTATGTTTGAGTTTCTGATCCATATTTATTTTTGTATGAAGTTCCAGCTTCTACT